CAATTGATGGGCATGCCCTCAATTTTCCATTTTTATCACTAAAAAAAAAGGTGCTATAAATATTTTTGCACATGTAGCTCCTCTTCCTTTTTTTTTTAAATGACATTTTTGGGATATAGACATACCAGTGGTATTATCAGATCAAGGGGTATTCAGTGTGTGGCCCTTTGCACTGCATTCCAAGTTGCAGTATGTTTAGATCAGTGCAGAACTCTACCAACAATGCATTGGTGTTCCACTTTTCCCACATTTTCTCCAACATCTATCATTTTCCTTTTCTAATAGCCAATCTGACAGGTGTCAGTGGTACCTGATAGTTGTTTTAATTTGCTTTTCCCTAATCAATACTGATTTAGAGCATTTTTTCATATACCTATAGATAGCTTTATTTCATCATTTGAAAACTGCCTGTTCATATCCTTTCACCATTTATCAATTGGGGAATGACTTGCATTCTTATAGATTTTACAAAGATCTTTGTATATTTGAGTTATGAGACTGAGAAACTGTATATAAATTTTTTTACCCAATTTGCTTTTTCTTTCTGGATCTTGGCTACATTTGTTTTATTTGTACAAAACCTTTTTTAATTTAATGCCACCAAAATTATCCATCCTACTTGTAACTGCTCTCCGTCTCTAGTTTCTTCAGAAATTGTACTCTATTCATGTCTGCTAGGTAATATGTTCCATGTCCTTCAAATTTTCTTATAAAATCTCTCTGCGTACTACATCACATATCCATTTTGACCTTATTTTCTTAATGATGTGAGATACTGGTCTCTGTCCAATTTCTGACATATTTCTTTCCAGTTTTCCTGATGATTTTTACCAAATAAGCTGCTTCAAAAAATCATTAAAGAAATTAACATCCAACAGTACCCACAATGTTTATACAAAGAACTTTGTGCCTGTAAAGTACAGGAAACAAAGTGAGCGCCAATTAATGGAGGAATGGCTGAAGAAATGATACTCTATAAATACCATCGTATACTGAGGAGGGATGAAAAAAATTAGGATTTCCCACAAAAATCGGTGTATTTATAGTTCTTAATGCACAGGGTGGAATTTGGGATGTTTAATGAGGTCTCTTCTCTTAGGAGGTCCAATGAAATTCTGTGTGGCAGCAGGAGGCCTTCTTCTGTTAATTAAATCCCTGACTTATCTCCAGCATGATTTTCCCAAAGTGTATTCAAGCAGACACTCTAGGCGAAGCCCTTTTCACATTTTGCATGAATCAACCTTCATTCCAGTAAGAATTAATTTGTTTACTGATCACTCTCCTCCAGAGGAAAGCAGAGACCCTCTGAGCATGTTTGTAAGGCTTCTCCTCACAATGAAGCCTCTGATAGAAAGAGATGGTCTCTAGCTGAAAGCCTTCCCACACTGAGTCCCAAGGGAAATACTCCTCAGAATGGTTCCTCTGATACTCAAGAAGTTCTGAACTCCATGTGAATGCCTTTCCTTACTCATGACAATCACCAGATTTCTGTCTCATATGAATTCTGAGATAGGAAATGAGAGATGATTGTTGCCTGAAGGCATTACCACCTTGATGATATTCAAAGTTTCTCTCAAGACAAGTGGTAACTAAGGGCTCTGCCATATTCATCACACCACTGAGGTGTATCTCTAGTGTGCATTCTCTGATGTTTACCAAGCTTGGAGCTATATTTGAAAGCCTTTCCACACTGATTACATCTTTAAGTCTTCTCTCCACTGTGGATTTTCAGATGGGTAGCAAGATTCTGCCTAAATTTATAAGTCTTTCCACATTGATTACATCGATAAGGCTTCTCTCCAGTGTGGATTCTCTGATGTGCAGCAAGATGGCATCTTTGAGTGAAAGCCTTTCCACATTGATTACATTCAAAAGGTTTCTCTCCAGTGTGGATTCTCTGATATGCAGTGAGATAGGAGCTATGTGTCAAAGCTTTTCCACATTGAATACATTTATAAGGCTTCTCTCTATTATGGATTCTCTGATGTGCAGCAAAACTGAATCTGTGCCTGAAAGCTTTTCCACATTGATTACATTCAAAAGGTTTCTCTCCATTGTGGAATCTCTGATGGCCAATAAAGAGTGATCTGTAGGAGAAAGCCTTCCCACATTCATCACATTTATAAAACCTCTCCCCAGTATGAATCTTCTGAGATTTATCAACATCTGAGCTCCAACCAAAGGCCTTCTTACCCTGAGAACATGCATATCTTTTCATTCCAAGGTGAAATATAGGTTGGTAAAGAAAGGATGTATAATGGCATGAAGTTCTTTCACCTTCATTATATTCCCCAGGCTCGTTTTGAATGGAAATTTGCTGATGAGTAATGAACTTAGAGTTCTGACTCAAGGCCTTCCCACCTTTATTACTTGCAGAAAGCATTTCTCCACTATCACTTTTCTTTAATTTTATTTTTTTTTAATTTTTTTTTCCACATGCTTTTCAGTTGAAAATTTTTTCTCCCTTTTTCTCCCCCCCTCACCCTCCCCAAGACAGCGCACAATCTGACATAGGCTTTACATTTACATATCCATTAAACATATTTTCACATTAGTGAAGTTGTAAGTAAAAATTAAAACCAATAGGAGGAACCATCAGAAAAATGAAACATAAGTCAACTTAAGATAAAAATAAGTGAGAATGATTCGACTTCCATAGTTCTTTCTTTGGATGTGGACAGCATTTTCCATCCCGAGGCCTCTGGAGATGTCTTAGATCCTTGTAATGCTGAGAAGGGTTCAGTTTAACATTCTTAGTCGTTGCATAACGTGGCTGCTATTGTATACAAAGTCCACTGGGTTCTGCTCACTTCACTCAGCATCAGACCATATAAGTCTTCCCAGGTTTTTCTGAAGTCAGACTGTTCATCATTTCTTATAGAACAATAGAATTCCATTACATTCATATACCACAACTTGCTCAGCCATTCCCCAATGGATGGGCATCCTCTCAATTTCCAATTCTTTGCCACCACAAAAAGAGCTGCTATGGATATTTTTGTACATGTGGGTCCTTTTCCCATTTGTTTGATCTCTTTGGGATATAGCCCTAGAAGCACTATCACTTTTCTTATGTGAGATCTGAATGAGATCTGAAATCCAACTCAAGGCCATTTCCCATTGATTATATGAAGACATTGGCATTTCATGAGGCTTCCCCTGGAACTGAAAAATCTCTACCCCTTCAGTAAAGCACTTGCTATATGCACCATCCTGAACACACTCATTCCCTGAGGTCATTTTATTACAGTGCTTTAGGATTGTAGACTGTCCAAATCTCTTTGCAATTTCATTAAATTCATAGTCACTCTTTGGATTTTTATCTACCTTTATATTAGAGTCATGGATTTCCCCCAGCTTAAAGCCCCAAAGATGATCACTCATGAATCTTTTCAGGTCACGTTCTTCCACAAAAATGCCCAGCTTTCTAGGCATCTCACTTACTTTGAACTTGGTCTCTATATCTTAAGAAAACAGAGAATCAAACATGTGTAGACATGTAAACTTTACAACAGCAATGGTTGCTGAAGATGTCTGCAGCTCCTGACCTCCTCATCACCAAAATTAATGCAATAAAACTTCATGGATGTACCCCCTTTTTTATATTTTTTTACTTAATATTTTTTTCCAGTTACATGTAAAGATAGTTTTCAACATTTGTTTTAGTAATATTTTGAGTTCCAAATTTTTCTCCTTCATTCCTCCTTCCCCAAAATAGTATGCAATCAGATATAGGTTATACACATACCTTTATGCTAAACATAATTCCACATTAGTGATGATGTGAAAGAAGAATCAGAAAATACAAAAAAAGAGAGGAAAATAGTATAATTCCATTTGCATTGAGACTCCATAGGTCTTTCTCCCCATATGGTTAGCATTGTCCATCATGAGTCTTTTGGAATTGTCTCTTATAGCTGATCATTGCACAATGTTGTTGTCACTGTGTACAATGTTCTCCTAGTTCTGCTCACTTCAGTTAGCACCGGTTCGCCTAAGTCTTTCTAGGTTTTTCTGAAATCTGCCTACTCATCACTTCTTATAGCACTAGATTATTCCATTACGTTCATATACTACAATTTCTTCAACCATTCAACCATTGATGGGTGTCCTATCAATTTCTCATTCTGTGCCACTACAAAGAGAGCTGCTATAAATATTGTTGTACATGCAAGTCCTTTTCCCTTCTTTTATATCTTTGAGATAAAGACATAGTAGTAGTGTTGCTGGATCAAAGGGTGTTATTCATAGTGTATATAACCTTTTGGTAATAAAACCAAATTTCTCTCCAGTATTGTTGCATCAGTTCACAATGCTACCAATAATGTATTACTGTTCTAATTTCCCCATATTTACCATTTTCCCTTTTTTTTTGTCATAATAGCCAGTCTGATAGGTGTCGGGTGGTACCTGAGAGTTCTTTTAATTTACATTTCCCTAATCAATACTAACTTATTTTTTTTATATGCCTATGGATAGCTTTACTTTCATCATCTGAAAATTGCCCATTCATATCCTTTTACCATTTAATAATTGGAAAATGACTTGTATTTTTATAGATTTACAAAGAACTTTGTATATTTCAGATATGAGACCTTCATCTGAGAAATTATCTATAATTTTTTTTTGCCAAATTTCCTGCTTTTCTTCTGGATCTTGGCTACATTTGTTTTGTTTGTACAAGACCTTTTAAATTTAATTTAATCAAAATTATCCATTTCACATGCCACTCTGCTCTCTAAGTCTAGTTTATTCCTATACTGTTTCCTATCCAGAAGTCTGAGAAGTACTATGTTCCATGTCCTTTCAAATTTTTTTTCATAAAATTTCCATAAATATATCATGTATCCATTTTGATGTTATTTTGTTAAATGGGGCAAGATATTGGTTTATGCCCAATTTCTGCCACACTTATCTCCAGTTTTCCCAAAAATTCTGACAAAGAATGAATTTTGATTCCCAAAACTTGAGCCTTTATACTTCTGTAATCCAAGGTTACTATATATTTGCTACTTTACATTGTATGTCTACTCTGTTCCATTGACTTACCATTCTATTTCTTAGCTATTAATAGATATCTTTGGTAATTATTGACTTATAATAAGAGTTTAAGATCTGGTACTGCTAAACCTTCATCCTTTATATTTTTTTTCCATTTGTTACTTTGCTATTTTTAACTTTTTTTATACCAAATTAAATTTGTTTTTATATTTTTCCAACTCAGTAAAATAATTTTTTGGTAATTTAAATGGGACGCCATTGAACCTATATATTTATATATTAACTTAGGCAAAATTGTTATTTTTATTATATTGGCTTTGCCTACCCATGAACAATTAGTATTTCTCTATTTAAATTTGATTTTATTACTGTAAATTTTTTTAAATTTTGTGTTCATGTACTTCCTGGGTTTGTTTTGGCAGTTGTACTCCCAGGAGTTTCATCCTGTCTAGATTTAGTTTTAATTAGGCATCTCTTACTACCTCTTCTTCCAGGGCAGTGTTGCTAATCTATAGGAATGCTATTAATTTATGTGGATTTAATTTATATAATAATGATATCTTTAAAATTATTAACTACTACTTCTGCTTCTGGGAGCCAAGATGGCAGAATAGAAAGGTAGTTGCTCTCACTGTCCCGTATCAGCCTCTGAAAACCCAGAAAATATCACCCAAGAAAAAAAACCCTGGAACAACTGAACTAGAAGATGGGGAGCAGCAGTGCAGCAGTCCAGCAAAGAGGTCTCCCAGTGCCTCAGCAAAAATAAGGGAAGCAGCACTACAAAGGGCCCCAGGTGGATAAGCACCCTGCAGCATTCATCTGAAAGGAGCTAAAGAAAGCAACCTAGACTCTTCCTAAAGCCCCAGCCTTGCTGATTCCAACCCAACACCAGGTAAACTGTCAGAACCCTACAGCCTCAAACTGTCAACCAGAAGAGATCCCAAAGCCCAGGTGGTAGAGCAGGCAAACACCAACACCTGGACCTCTGACTGCCTCAATGAGGGTGGGGGAACCGGTGGAAACCAGCTCAGAAAACCACCAGGTGCCTTGGTAGTCTACTGCAAAGGAATCCCCAGTACATTAGCAGAAAGGAAAGGAGGCAGCACTGCAAGGGGCCCGAGGCAGATAAACACCCTGCAACACCCATCTAAAAGGAGCTGAAGAAAGCTAAAGGAAAGGAAAAGCAGGCAACCTAGAATTGCCTGAAAGTTCCAGCCTTGCTGATTCCAGCCCAACACAGGTAAGCTGCCAGAACCCTACAGCCTCCAATTGCCAACATAAGAGGCCCCAGCACATAAAGCCAGTGACCAAGACCTAGGCTCCCAACACAAGAAGCTTGTGTTCAGTGCCCTCTGTTCCCCAGCAGGAGAGCTCAATCTCTTTAAAGGCCAGGGAATAAAGAAACACCACGAGTAAAAAGAAACATACCATTGATTCATATTATGAGAAGAGCGAAGATCAAGACAGAAATTCTGAAGAGGACAACATTGTCAACAAACCCACATCTGCAACATCAAAAGGGAATATGAACTGGTCTGAAGCCCAAAAAGCCTTCTTAGAAGAGCTCAAGAAGGATTTTAAAGTCAAATGAGAGAGGTAGAAGAGTCCTTAAAAATACAATTGGCCAATTGGAAAAAATACACTGAAGAAAACAAGTCCCTAAAAAACACAATTGGTACCAACTGAAGAAGGAAGTGCAAGAACTAATAGAAGAAAACAATCTGTTAAAAACTAGAATTGAACAAATAGAAACTAATGACTCTATGAGAGAGCAAGAATCAGTCAAACAGAAACAAAAAAATGAAAAAATAGATGAAAATGTAAAATACCTCATCAGTAAAACAACTGACCCGGAAAATCAATTCAGGAGAGACAATTTAAAAATTATTGGACTACCTGAAAATCATGATGAAAAAAAGAGCCTGGACAGTATCTTTCAGGAAGTCATGAAGGAAAACTGCCCTGAAGTCCTAGAACCAGAAGGTAAAATAACCATAGAAAGAATACACCACTCACCACCTGAAAGAGATCCCAAATTGAAAACACCAAGGAATATAATAGCAAAATTCCAAAATTGCCAGATGAAAGAGAAGGTCCCACAAGCAGCCTGAAAGAAACAATTTAAATATCATGGAACCACAGTCAGGATTACACAGGACCTTGCAGATTCTACATTAAAAGACCGCAGGGTGTGGAACATGATATTCCATAAGGCAAAGGAGCTTGGATTGAAG